GCTGCCCGGCTCGGCGGGGTCGAACTCGGGCCCTCCCAGCGACGGGGCCCCGCCCCCCGCACTCACTTCTTCTCCCCCTCGAAGAGCAGGAAGGACTCGAAGGCCGGCGGCGCGTTCATCCTGCGGCGGTAACGGCGCCGGCGGCGCGTCCGCTGCCAGCAGCGCCGAGCTCAGGTTCCGCTTCCGGGAGCACCCAGGGGCCCGCTACTTCCGCTTCCGGGGCACGCAGCAGCGACAGCGCCCCCTGCCGGCAGCGAGGAGAAATTGCCGCTCAGCCAGAGGCAGCAGCCCAGCGCCCCCCGCTGAGCCCGGCCCCAGGGGCGCTGCCCTCAGCCACACCCGCCCCGTCACCGCCGGCAACCTCAGCGCCACCCCATCGCCAACACCCTGGTTACCACCGTCGTGGCCAGCGCCGCCATGGCAACGCCCTCAGCAGCACCAGGCCCAACACCCGCCTCGATGGCACCATCCTCACCACCATCGCCAACGGCAACACCAGCGCCCGTAGCAACATCCTCACCAGCGTCACCAACCCCGTCATCGGGCACCCTCACTGCAAGCAACACCCGCTTAGCACCTTCGTGGACGGTGACTCTCAGCCGTGGCAGCACCCCCGTCTGATGGAGGCACAATACATCGTTAGTGATTGCAACGCCGCCAACCTGCAGATGCACACACCCTCTCGCACCGGGCAGCCCCCCACCCAGGGCCTGGGGTGCCAGCAGGACCCGAGTCCACAGCTGGCTCACAGGCAGGCCGGGCCTGTCCACAGTTCTGAACACGAAAGTAAATTCAATTAACTGAAAGGGTTAAAAAAAAAAATCCAACCCAACAATCTCTCTCCCTGAACTAAACTGAGTGTCCACAAATCCCATTGGCATTTTCTCCAGAGGGAGATGCTGGCAGGGAATGAAAAGCAAACACATGGCCTCATGATACAAGAGGTGTTTATTGTACATTCAAATACACAGCTATTTTTCTAGCATTGGTTCTGTACAGTGGATGGGAAGGTATATGCCCTGGTCTCCCTTTGACACCGGTCTGCTCTGGAGTCTATTTCCTTAGGTCACATACACCTGATCAGGGCTAAGCCACCTCTGCAACGAACACACCAGCCATGGCCCCGCATGCAATCTGATGAACTGCCAAAGGGACACATTTTCTGTGGCAAATGGATGGTTATTTGGGTCCCTACACCAGGCTGCTGGATTGTGCTGACTCCATGTGCTGCGCTAAATGATAACATTGCGCAGAACAGCAGGTCTAACCTGTGGTATTCTCCATCCAGTTCAGTGGAGGGTCCATGTGATCCAGCAGGTGCACTGTTCTGACCCCCAAATGGCCATGAACCAGACTGTTTATAACCTGCACTTTAGTTAGTGCAGGACACCGAGTAACAGCCAGGCCACCTGCTCAATAGTTTCAGAGCATCTGTTTACCTGGGCCTGAAATGCAGCATACGTGGTAGTGGCCAGCCTGCATTTCTATAGCACCTTTTGCCAGGGATGTGAAAGCACTTTTCGGACAGGAAGCCATTATACAGATAGTATTTTGCATTTCCTGGGATCAAGAACCACTTGACACGTAAGTAAGCTTTGCAGACCCCTGGGAGATAGGCATGGGGAGTGAAAATCTGCCTTCGGTGACTGCCAATGGGATTGCAACTGAGAACTTGCTTTAGCCTAATATATATTATCCGCAATTACAGATCAGAAAACAGACGCAGAGGTCAAGGCCCTGGCTTTCAGAGGTGCTGAGCCCCTCCAGCTCTCACTGATTCTTGCAGGTGGGTGCCAAGTGCTTCTAAAAACCAGCAATTTACCCAGGGTGGGGAGAGGTGGGAATAGAGTCAGGAGGCCTGGCTCAGAATCAGCTGCTTTAACGAACCACTTCCCCATCTCTTCTTCCTCAAGGTGTGGAATGGTCACTGAGCAGCCAGCAGTAACCACATACCATGCAATGGGGTCTGAGGTGCTGACTCAAGACTTGTCCATGTTCATTCAACAACCCAGTGAGACGGATGGATGTGCAGCTCAGGGACGTTGGTTACAAATTCCAGGCGTCAGCCAGCATCTCCAGTTAACGGATACTCTGCACCTCCATTGTGCCTTTCATCAGAGGATCGCAAAGCACTTTAACAAAGGAGGGGAAGGCTCATCATCCCTATTTCAGAGATGGGGAAACTGAGGAACACAGCAGGGTCAAATGACTTGCCCCAGCTCACACTGTGGGTCAGTGGCAGAAGAGCGTATGGAATCCAGGCCACCTGACTCCCAAACAGATTCCCCCTCCTCTTCTGTGGATGCATCACTACTGGCTTCAGTGCTCCAAGGAGTCATTGTGACCCTGGGTGTCTCAAACCCAGGGTGAAGCAGCTCAGATATAAGGTTGCATTGAGGAGCTACGATTTCACATCAGACCAGGCTTGACAAAACAGCTGGATCTTGACTGAAAGGTGAAAATAATAGTGGAGAGACTCCCTAGTGCAACCCTGGCAGAGGTGAGACGTGAAAGCTTCTGCACTACCTTCTGGATAGAGCACAGGCCCCCATCCCGCTCTGGGGACTAGCGAGAGCACAGGAGGGTCATTGACAAGCCGCTCACTAATGGAGACATGCTAAGCTGGCAGAAGTCCATGGCATGGCTTTTTGAGCAGCGGGGCGATGGTGAGAGCACACGGTGTCGAGGGAGTTCCCATTGCAAAGATGTCTGGTGTTGGTAGCTCTGATGGACGCAGCAGGACCAAGTGAGCAGGGTGAGAGGCGACGGAGTGGCTCACTCCAGGAGTCACGTCTGCAGCTCCAGGAGGCAGTTTCTGTCCCGGTCAGCTAGGGTGCCTGAGCTGAAGACGGCTGCGTGATGGGCGTCTTCGAGGTCCTGCAGCACCTGGAATAGCCTTGTGGGTCCGTCCACATTTTCAGGGTCTGTGGAGGTGCAGGGAAGCAGAGAGAATTACCCTGACTGGAGTGGTGCTTGCACAGCAGCTGCTGACAACACTACCAGCCCCAAGAATCACCAGAGGAGACAGCACCACCAGAAATTCGAGCCCACCCCCAGCAGCAAAGGATGATAGCTAGGGCTGGTTGAAAATTTTGATGGCCATGGCTGATGGCCAGGACAGGGAATTATTACAAGGTAATGTGGCGTTGTCTGGGAAAAGGGAGGAGAGTATTGATTATTAGATATATTGCTAATCACAGCACATGCCCACTTGGGAAAGATGAATAATCCATCAACAACAAAGCAATACCTCCACTTTGGCGCAGAAGAACGTTTTCATTTTTCTCCGTCAACATCTCCAGATACTTTTCCCTTAAGGGAGCAAGATGAAACAACAATGGGTTTTCAGATGTAATCCGCAATTAACCGATTAGCCCCACTATATTCAAAGCCAAGAGGCCAGAAGGTGCAATCCTGCACAATGCCACTGATAACAGGAGTTGAAGACAATCAGCATGAGATGGTCAGGACGTTGCAAGATTAAGTTCTGTGTGTCTGCTCCCCTTGGCTAACTCTGGACACATGGTGGCTTCTTCTAAGGACCTTTGAGCAGCCACTCCAGCCTCTTGTATATGTCCATCCCCCTGCTCACCCACACTTCCTTCTCTGGGATGTAGCCCCAGTGAATGCTCAGGAAGGAGGAACTGTTCAGGGTGATATGGGGTGTAGATGAAGGAGGATGGGGACAGTCAGAAAGGGAACACTCAGGGTGAGTGTCAGGAGATCCCCCACCGTGAGATCCATTAAGATAACGGAAGAACCTCCCAAGGGAGATGGTGAAAGCCCCATTGCTTGGGGCATTGAAACTAGAATGGACAGAGCACTGATACATAGACTGAAGGGAACAATCCTGGCTTGGGGATGGTCAAGAAGTGACCTAACAGGGATTCCAATCTCCAATTTCTAGGCTAGTCACTAATGATATCTTTCTGCACAGGATCCCAGGCTGCAGACCAGTGTAGAGGGGGCCCCTGGGGTATCACCCTCACTCTGGCTTCAGTCAGAACGCCTGGGACATGTGCATATAGACAGGTACGAACTCCAGGCCGATTCCGGCCAGACCTTTGAAACAGCAGAACTCTGGGCCTTAGGCAGATGATTGCCAGGGGCAGAGTGCGTGGCCTATTGGCCCCTGGGACATGTAACTCACTGTGCTGATTGGCCCCCCCTCCCTCCTTGGGGCCACAGAGATGGTCCTCCGCGAGCAAGAGAGCGGTGTGAGAGACTCACTCCATGCTTACAGGCCCCTCGCAGGGCACAGAAATGATTCCCTGGGTGCAAACTCCTAGAGGGAAACAGCCCCAATCATGCCGCACGAATCAAGCGACTCACCTCATTAAGTCTCTAACTCCAAACAGGTGTCTAAAAATTAACTGAGACTCTAGATCTGGATCCAGGGGGTCATTCCATTCCTGCAGAGTGACTCCGTGCCGGGTTTTATCACATCCCAAACCTAGGCGACAGCAGCCAGGACAGCAGGTTAATTTGAGGTGGGCCCCTAAAGGCGGACTGTTGGTATCTGAGTGGTGCCCTCTAGTGGATGTAAGAGCCAACGGGTTTAACCACACTCACCAAGGCATTCTGCGACTCCCACTGCTCTGGCTTCCCTGGAGGAGGGAGCGTCTGGGTGTTCCCAAGCCATCAATACAGCAAATTAACACAGCTCCGCGCCCAAGGAGACAGGAACAATACCCTGCCTTTCTCTAGCACCTGAGCCCTGGTCTACACTACAACCGAACTCCCAGTGTAGCCAGCGCTACATCGACAGGACGGCTTCTCCTACCGCCTCTCAGGGAGGTGGGGGTGGAGCACGTATGCTGACGGGAGACACTCTCATAGAAGCATCTTCGCTACAGCGACGCAGCTGCATTGGTGCGGCCTTGTAAGCGTAGAGAAGCCCTGAGCCAAGGGGCTCCAAGCCCTCTCGGCAGACAGCTAAAAGAACAAGCTGACGACCCACATGTCCCTAGTTTGGACTGTACCAGCCACAGCCTCTGCGGGTCAGGCACAGAGGGGAACCCATCCCACCCACCCACCTGTAGATTAGACAAACACTTGATGCCCAGGCATGCGTCTCACAGATGGGACCCTGAAGGCACAGAGAGGTCAGGTGACTTGCCCAAGGTCACATGATGAGGCAGTGGCAGAACTACAGCCCTAGAACCCACCCACGAGCCATGCCTCTCTGTCC